GAACTGTGTGTGCAATTTTCTGTAATCACTTCAGAGGGCTTTCTAGCAAACAAAATAGTTCAAAGTTCTTTGTACTTCAAAGAATGTTACACACGCTTGGACTTGACCATTGTTTGATTATACTACTCAGAACTTCCTGCAGCTGGTACTTCCCTTTTTGCTTTTCCATTTTGACTCTGAGAGAAACTTTGGAGAAGAATAGTGTGCCTCATGATGAAAGAATAGAGAACAGAGTGCGCCGTTCTCTAGCATGCCTTCTGCAAGAGCTTTCCTCATGTTACACAGAAATGTGTGCCTTGTTGAACATTATCATTGCCCTGTTTTGTTAGTCTAAGTATAAGCCCAACTAAGTAAAATACTTAAGTAAACATTAACTATACACTGAGGCTCACAGAACCCTGTTATCTTCCCATTGAAGTGGTACCTATTTGTCTACTCACATTTGCATGCTTTCAAATTGCTAGATGGGCAGGATCTGGTGCAAGTAATGAGAGATTATCCCATCATATGGTGCTTGGACCCAAGCTGCCAGCTGATAAGCTCAGCATTTGTTAACTATTGAGCTATTGTGCACCCCCTTAGAACTACAAGACTCTGTAAAGTTGGCCACAGTGATTAAATTTCATGTGGAGTACTGTTAACAAGCAGAAGTTTGGCCAGATAATGCTTCCAATTTTCAATTGTATTTGGTTTGTTAGTATACAGACTGCCTTTTTAAAGTAACTGGAACTTAACTCCTGATTATCTTAATTAAAATGGTTGCATGACAGTTGTATAATTATATTTATCTTTCGAACTTGGTTCTGAAAGCAAAAGCAAAAGAAAAATCAGATGTGAGTGGAGATCTAAAGGAATCTAGTCACCGTTTGTTTTAATATTTTATTTAAAAGTAGTAAAAATCCTTCACCTAGAAATACCCACTAGCATTGGTCCCCCAAAATGATCTGGCATACTTTCATTAAAAAAAAATATGCACGCTATTAAAATGGATACCAAATCTTTACAATAGAGGTCTTAAAAAGAAAAAGAAAACCTGCTGATAAGCTACATGGAAAAGAATAAAATAGGAATATCTCTGGTTTAGGCATAAATTGGATATTCATTGATCTGCAGGTTGATCTGCTCAGATTATTCATTTTCTAGTAGTTTGTTGCTTGGGTGTCTGTATCCACATGCCATGATAGGAGGAGAAAAGCAGGATACTATTTTACCTAACAGGGATCACTCTGGAGTCTCCAGTCCAGTTTATTATAACTTTAGCTATTAAATCAGGGATGGGTTGCTGCCAGCGTTGCTGCTGGTTCGCTGCATGCATATGTTGACTGTGAAATGAAAAAAATTACTAAAAGACATGCCGACAATGGCAGTGGCGACCGGAAAATGGGTTCGGGGGCATGGCTAGCCTGGATCGCGGCCGGTTCTGCAACCAAGGCCAAAATACCACTATCGGTTCACCCGGACGGGTGCAAACTGGTAGCGACCCACCTCTGTATTAAATTCTATGATGTAATCTGTTACCCAGTTTGGAGCAGGATGACTTCTATTTTCCCAGATGCATACATTCAGTTGCCTTCTAGCGTAAGAAACTGTGAAGCCACTTTACCATTCAGTAATTTTAAATGAAGTTGTTATATAGATTAGTATCATTTCCTAAAATCCCTATTTTTTGTATGTTACATGAAGCACTTCAATTTAAAAGTAGATGGAGAAAATTTTCTTTAACATTTTTAAAATTATGAAAGAATTTAAAGTACTGAACAACAATACTGTACATCATATGCGGTGGTGGGCTTATTTCAAATACTTTAATACTACTTAGCTGAATTTATACGAACTGTTCAAATTAGAAAAATCTCTGCATTTACTATGTTATAATAGATGTGCAAGTTAATGGAACACAGTATAACTGCATGAAAATAAGTCAAGAGAGATTTGCCCTGACACAGAGAGAGAGAGAGAGAGAGACAGACAGACAGACAGACAGACAGAGACACAGACAGACAGAGAGAAACAGAGAGAGTGAGAGAGACAGACTCACAGCAGGCTGTTATTAACACAGTGCCTTTTATGGGGTGAGATGATAAGTGGAGAATATGTAATATATCAGGGATAGTGCAACCACTAACTAAATTATCATCACTCTCATAACTTTATAACCAATAACAAAAAAGATCAGTTTTTAACCAACTTCACTGACTTCCAGTTTGTTTTTAGGCCTAATCTTTTATATTCAGTGCTCTAAATACATTAGGGCAGAATATTTAACAAACTAGTTCCTTAATTCATGAAAGGGGCTTTCTGCATGTCCAACCATCATCTAGGTGTATCACTAAAACACAAGGAATAAACATTTTAACAAAGAACTTGAATTATACCCATTAGTCCTTATCCTTCTTATGTAAAATTATATGAAAAAGCTGTGAAAATGAAAAGGCTTTCTATTTTTCCTTATTTTAACTAATAGCCACATAAGTGTGGCATGCTATAATGAGATTTGAAATTCTATTAAGGTTATTATTTTCTATCTTCTCAGCAAGCTAGAAAGCCTTATGATGTTCGTGATGTGATAGAACAATATTCTCAGGGTCATCTCAACTTAATGGTCCGAATCAAAGAGCTTCAAAGAAGGTATGGTCCAGAATTCATCTACTAAACTTAATAATTTTTTTTAAGTATATTCTGAACATGCAGGGACAAATTGCAGCCCACAGTATCCTCACTGTCCCACATTAAATGTCATCAATTTTTAATTGTGGAAACAATTTCTGCCACAGTATCTTACAAATATGAAGGATTAAAGAGTGCCCCATGATGCTTCCCTAACATACTTCCTTACCTGCATGGAACTTCAATGTTAATATATCCAGTCTGATCACTCCCTGAGGAAAAGGAATTAAGAATGCAATAGGCAGTAGAAGTGGGTTAGAAAATGTGGCATGACAGCACTTGGAGTATTTTCATATTGAGAAGGTCAACAGATTGCTCTAAGCTATGGTGTGTTATAACTAGGCTTTACTGAATAAGTTACTGTTGGCTGGATTCTTACAATATGCTAAGCTATAAATTATGTTTACAAACCATAATGGCTGGATTGACAGGGCATACTAATCCAAATCCAAACATGCCATGATATTACTTAGAACAGGGGTCTCCAAACTTTAAGACTTGTGGATGTTAACTCCCAGAATTCCCCAGCCAGCATGTCTGGCTAAGGAATTCTGGGAATCAAATTCCCAAACTCCTAAAGTTGCCAACTTTGGAGAGCCCTGACTTAGAGCATGAACCAAAACTATCCCATTTTTCTCCTGTCCTCCCTTTTATTTTCTTCAACTTGATTGTAAGATTGTAAGAAACATCATCCTTCATCTCCCATGTATTTAAGAATCATGATTTATTCTATCGATTAGTGTCTTTTGAGCATAGCAACAACAAAAAATCCCACAGGGCAAAATTACATAAAAAGAACATTATTTTAAAATTGCTTTATTGCTGCCAATAAACTATTTTGAACTCATGAACTCAACATCTCCATATCTTTGTGGAAGTGTTAATATCAGGAAGTGTTAACAGACAACACCAAATCTTTAGTGAATTAATAGCTTCTTCATGGAGCTATTTTTAGATCACATACAATATCTCTAAAAATCACAATAAAAAGTTCAAAGCATATTTTGCAAATAAACCAATAACTATGTAAGACCTTCTTTCATTATTGGTAGGAACATAAAAACAATTACAATTATTTTTAGCTGCCCATGTTTTACCTGGGGGAAAACTTTTGGTTTCTTATTTAAACATTTTTTCTTTCTCTCTAGATTGGACCAATCTATAGGGAAGCCATCACTATTTATTTCTGTCTCAGGTAAGTCACCATCCTAGAAAAGTGCAGAATGTATCTTAAATATGTGACAAATCAAGTAGTTTTCAAAAAAAAACACCCTCATAGAAATAGCAATTCATCCAACCACTGGACAAACCAGTGATGGGATTCAAAAATCTTAACTACTGGTTCTGTGGGTGTGGCATGGCTTGGTGGGGAAGGATACTGTAAAATCTCCATTCTCATCCCATCTGGGAGAAGGTTACTGCAAAATCCCCATTTCCTCCCAATCAGCTGGGACTCAGGAGACAAAGAATAAATAGGGGCGGGGGCAGTCAGAGGTGGTATTTACCGGTTCTCCAAAGTACTCAAAATTTCCGCTACCGATTCTCTAGAACTGGTCAGAACCTGCTGAATACCATCTCTGTGACAAAAATTCAAAACAGAATCAAAAGCACTAAATAAATTATATTTAAAAGAAATTAATTGAAATAGCTAATACAATTATTCTCATGCTTTTAGTAACTTTTAAAAACCACATTAAAAGTTACAATTAACGTTGTGAAAGTTATAGTTCAATAGCACTATTTTGGGGAGTCTGTGGAATGCATCCAAGATTTTGGGTGGTACATTGATCCCTACTGGCTATAGCAATTGAATGAGTTGTGCTCATCATTATAGTTTTCACAACTTACAGTGAAACCATACAGTATCTCTATATTTCTTTTGTGGGAAATCAGAATCCAAATAAACATTCTATAATAGCCATGAATGTATACTAACATTTCATGGATGATGATAATGATCATCAATAAGCACACTTCAAGAGTTAAGACTTACTCCTATTTTTTACTTTGTTTTGGTATTTTTGAATCAATCTTGACAATTTTTAGGACGGATAGAAGTGGTTTGCCATTGCTACATTCTGGAATGTTTTTCAGTTTCCCAGTCTAGGGCAGAGAGAATATAAGTGGCTCAGAGTTACTCAGCAGTAACTTATGTGACTAAGAGACGATAGATCTTTCTTAGGCACCGAAGAGTCTCTCTGCTCCTAGTCCAACACTTTAACCATTACACCACATGGACTCTCACTCAAGCTCTACTGAACTTTTCAGTTAAATTAGTGTTAAATTTAATTTACATTTATTACATTTAATGCACCAATTCTTCTGATTTAAAGCATAACATGAACTCAAGATGCAGTCTGAACTTGAGTCCATTCAAGGCAAGGCTTGAGTTGATGAGAATAAAGATTTTTTTAAAAAAAAAACTACTGTTAATGTAATAAAATTACCCATCTGTCAGCAGGGTTCAATTAAGTAGCTCTGCTAGACTAGTTAAAAGCAATTGCATGGCTTCATTCTATACTATTGTAACACTTGATATTCATCTAGAAGTGTCCTTTCTATGCAGAAAAAAATAAAGATCGAGGGACTAATACAGTTGGTGCCCGGCTGAACAGAGTCGAAGAAAAGGTAGGCCTAAATTAGACTTTCAATAATAGTTGTATTTTACTGCGTGACACAAGCATACCAGCACATTCGTTTCCTTCCTGATTATTTAAAAAAATGCAACCTAATTGTGAGGACATGAACATAGGCAAGCAATTTAACAAAGGCAAATTTGTGAAAAATAAAAATATAATTCCATATAAAGATTTCATTTCTAATGAATTGTTTGAAAATGGAAATGGAGAATATGATCTATAACATTTTGTAGTATCTGCAAATGGAGATATATTGTTGAGTATGCTTAAATTGCTTGTGGTAGTCCCACAAATGTAATCTAGTTTAAGGAGTTATTAATTTGATAATTTAAATCAATTGACATTTGTTTTTGTGCTATGTCCTATCTTCCTTGTTATAAAAGGGCAACTTAATATGAATATGCAGTATGTTGTAGTACATTGAGCAATTAAAATGCAGTCTAAAGTCTGCAGTTATTCATATGTCCTAACTTGTTTCATCTTATTTATACAATTTCTTCTGGTTACAATGGGAAGAAGATTACATCATTGTAGAGCTGACAGACAATTGAAAGAAAATCCTTCCCAAAAGGCTTGACATTAAATATAAACAAGACAGAGAAAGAAAGAGAAAAGGATGGGAATTGCTAATAATTTAACCAAAACAATGAATATTTTCCCAGAGTGAAACAACATAGTCACACAAGTGAAAGGAACCTGAAAGGATATAATAATCCTAGAAGAGAAGGTCCAGCTTTCTCATTTATTATCATCACTGTTGAAACTCTGTTTTCTCCACTTCCCTTTCCTTCTCTTTACACAAATGGACAGAGGAATAATTGCCAATTGGAATCTTATTATAGCTAATCAGTAATGACAAGAGAGAGGGAAATGAGAAGAGGAAGCTTCAAAGGTTTTTTTCTGGGAAATTTTTCTGGGTGAAGTAAATCTATTTTCTTAAAATGGATTGGATAAAGGTATCCCGTATGCAGGCATCCTTAGGGATGTTGGAAGCTGTTCCATGAATTGAACTGGATAGGGAAGTTGCTCATTGACTGCCACCTGGAAACCATTTTCAATGTATGGTTAGTGCCATATCAATTGATATGGTGCTCATAAATGGAATATCACTTAAATATAGCTTGAAATGTCTGAGAACTTTTTAAAAGGTATAATATTTCAATTCACTGACACCTATGCTGTTGTTGGCCAGATTCCACAAACATATTGTTCACTTTGTCCCCTTTTGTTAAAGCTATATACACATTTATTATAAGTATTTTAAAAGTCATCCAAGCAAGAATCTTGCTTTTTGCATCCTCATCTTTTATAAGACCAATACCTGCACATCTTTGTACATTTTGTATTATTATCTCTTCTACAAGTAATATGTGGTCAAAGGCAAATGCACAGGAGAGGTTTATGTGCTAGCTGGTTTTTAGAGTAAGGTTGCTTTTGGATATGATTACATTTTGCTGCACCATTTGCATGTGAGTACATGCATGTGGATTGTTGAGTCAAGTCATGACCTTTGGCATGAAAAGTCCATGTAGGTTTGGGTGCAATAATTCAGAAGTGGTTTGCTACTGTTTTCTTCCTAAGACTGAGAGGAGCGATAGATCTTTTCCAATTGGTTTGATGAGTAAGACAGGACTAAAAATGCCAATCTCCTGTTTTTCATCCTCGTATCTTTAACTACATCAAATTGGCTCACTCTCCTATTTTTTTTTTACCATGATGTAAATGCATACCTGCTAACTAAAATAATTTTCAGGAAGAATACAGTGCAAGGCTATTAGAATCATACTAAAGTGGTAAATACTTTCAATTATCTTTATATCCAATCCGTACAAAGCTGCAAAGGTATATTTAGAATAAATCTACAAATTCTGTGATAACCAATCATCAAAATGAAAATGGAAAATATTTTAAAAGATAGTAGCAAATGAAATAAACACTAGTATTGCTATCATTTATGACCTGTTATTCTGCACACTAAATGTTAATGAAGATGATAAAATCTGGAAAACTGAGCTGATTTGGTATCCTTTTAAATGATGCAAATCCTGTTTTGTCTAACATTAGAGAGATAATCTGATAAAGACAGCAAACATTAAAGTTAAACCACATTCATTTTGTAAGAAATTTGCTTAAATGTCTGAGATGGAATAAAAAATATCATGAAATATAGGCACAAAAATAGTACCTTAGGTACAGACTTAAAGATAAAAATGGATATCATCTATAATTTTTTGCAGTAGCTTCCAGGACTTTTTTTTCTTGTAATCCATTAAACCATCTATAGTATTTGTTTTAAAAATAATAAATCTAATTACAATTTTTTAATTATTTTTATATACAAAAGATAAAGCTAAATGTCTCATGTAGGTTTCAGTTTGTTTTAGTGTATGCTGCTGATTAATTTGAATGCTTAACAAGGCCAAGGTCTAAAAGGAATTTTATTCTCAATTAATCCTAATCTATGGTATACAGTTTGCTTCTGTTTTTATTCTCCTTCCATTAGCAAGCATTTTTTAAAAATTCATGTAAGCTTTTGCTTTCAAATTTGCTTTATTCTGGCGGATCAATTGATACCTTTTTGTTCTTTTGTTTATTTCAGCTTTGCTTTTGTTGAATTTATTTTTATTTTATTTGTTTTATATTTATTTTTATGTAAACATTGTTAAAAACATTGATGATGGAAAAGCATTTTAATGGTAGAAAGTAGGACAGAAATGTGTTGTACACTGGTAGTACATATTTATGAATCAATCTGAACTGTTAACTATTATTCATATCTTGGTTATAGTGCAATGGGCTTTATATAGGATTTTTTCTGAAGGAGTATTCAGTAACTACAAATGCTGCAAAATACGGCTGCACACATAGGACTGTGATTTTATGACTCCAATATTAAAAGATCTATAACTTTTTTTTGTAACTGACCCTGGGTCACGTAGATGAAATGGGTGATGTAGAAGTAAGATGGATGGATGGATGGAATGAATGAATAAAGAAACAAACAAATGAATGAATGAATAATTGTTAGCTGTATCCCAGACTCAATTCATGATATTGGCATTTATTTTTAAAATAGAAATGAGGGAGTAACCATATCATTATATACCTGCATGATTATAAAGGACTGTAAGACTGTCCCTCATTTTGGAATATCCCACTATAGAGGTCTGTTTTGGGGAAATATATAATAGCAGTAGTAGACTTATATACCGCTTCATAGGGCTTTCAGCCCTCTCTAAGCGGTTTACAGAGAGTCAGCATATTGCCCACAACAATCTGGGTCCTCATTTTACCCACCTCGGAAGGATGGAAGGCTGAGTCAACCTGAGCCGGTGGGATTTGAACCGCTGAACTGCTGATCTAGCAGTAGCTTGCAGTGCTGCATTTAACCACTGCGCCACCTATACATGTAAGGCCTTTGTCATCATTCTCTAATTTTGAAATTATTCAAAATTTCAAAATGAAGTTTCATTTCTAGTCTCAGCTACTTAAATAGAGAGTTGAGATACTTCTCTTTAATCCTTTTAACTAGTTGTTTTGACTTATAGGCCAATGCAAAACATGAACTAAGACAAAAAGGGTAAGATTCATCAAAGACCTTATGGTCTTCAAAGAAAGCTGTTGTTTGGTTAGCTAATTAGTTTGGAATATTTTCACACTTTTGAGTATATTTCTTTTTTATTTTATGGTTGGAGGGCATGTATGCCTAAAAAGGCTTCCACAAAGATCATCAAAAGGTTGGGAAAGGAAAACCTTGCTTTAATAGTTCAAATAGTATGACTCTGTTCAGGGAAGCAGGTTAGCAGTGGCTTGTAGCTTTTTATTTAACATCTGGAGTTGTGCCAAGAAGTGTTAGGTTTCATATATAAAAAGCAGCCTGTATTCACTCAGGAAGTAACCAGGCTTGGTACAAGAAGTCTGCAGGGAAGAAGTTAACAAAGCTCTTTCAACAATTAAGCCAATTTTATTTTTCCAAATTTTTAAATCCCAATATTTAACCCAGCTCATTCCTGACCAAAAAGAAAAGAAACAAGATAAATTCTTGTAGGAACATTGAATGCAGTGTGTGCGTGCGTGTGTGTGTGTGTGTGTGTGTGTGTGTGTGTGTGTGTGATACAATGTATGAATATATTTTATGGTTTTTATAAAATAATATAAAAATAAGTTTATTTTCTAATATAGCCCTCACTGAAAAGTTTATTTTAAATATTCTTTTGAATTTGTGAGAACAGTATGGAACTAGAAAATCCTTTCAGATAGTACTTTTATTTGTGCAGTTTTTAGACGGATTCTTACAGGTGATCTTTCATTTGGAAACATTTTATTTTCTCACTGATTATTTCATCTTGATTTTCTTACCAAAGAAAGAAAGAAAGTACGCATAATTGTGTACTGCTTTTGATTAATAATGCTTAGAGCTCTTCCTCTGGAAACAATCTGAATTACTACCTATTTTAAACATTTGAAAGTGGTAATTTATTCGAGTTCTGTAGTAACAAGTTCCAGAGACAAATAGGTAGCACTGTGAAAAAAAAAATCTCATGATAATTTAAAGATTAGTAAACCTATTCTGACCTAGGTACTTTGAGTACTTCATCTGATACATGTACAATTATTCCCAGTTTACATATTTACATTGAGATGGTTTGGAGTACAGGAGGAAGATTTATGAAAATAATAAAATTCAAAGAGTACAAATAATAACAATTTGAAATAGGTTCCGTAGGAGAGAAAACTTTTGATATCCCCCCTAAACTTTCATTCTGCACAAGGGTTCCCAACAGTCTGAATCCAATAAATTCACTGTTTCTACTATATATAAAAATGAGATAATACGTTGTAATGGACTACTGTGGATTAAAATCCATCTCTTTATTTTTTTGTCTCTTAACACCTTTGTATCATATGTAATATCAAAAAAGTTGGCCTCTGATATAAGTGGCCAATACTTTTGTGCAGGTGCATATTATTGTTGTATAAAGCTATTGTTGTACAATAAAGCTA